ATTGACAAAAGAAATGCTTCCAAATACAATTTTGGAGAAAGGCCTAGGAGCAGTGCAAAAGGTCAGCTCTCAATGTGAGGAAGGCTGATCTCAGATAGCTGGACATTTCCAAAGGATCCTGTCCTGCACGTCTGAATAGCCTTGTAATGGGAATGGTGGTCCCTCAGTTGGCCTGGCCCTAAGATCCATCAGAGCTTTAAAGGAGCCATTCTCAACAAGGAGGTAAGTGGCCCCCTGGGGACCCTAGGACATTTCAAGGGGGCCACCAGTGGAAAACATGTAACGGGGGTCATGACATGTGCCAAGGGGGCCACCGAAAAGCGAAGTGTATTATATTTACAGTGACCATATTTTCTTGGAAAAAATAAAGGACAAACCTGAAAAAGAGGCAAATCGGAAAGAGGTTCATAAGAATAAAAAAAACCCCGTAATTGTTTATATATATAACTTTGGTTTACAAAGGAAAACTCAAGAGCAAAACCAAGAACAACTTTTACCAAAACCCATATTCTTATAAAAAATATCTATAATCAAACAGTATGTGTGAATTCATTTAAAAAAGACCATTCAATTTCCATATTTTTCACGTGAATTGTGAAAGACTATGCCTTAACGGATACCATTTGTATGGAATAAGTTAAATGACCACAGTAAAGGACAAACGTGACTTTTTGAAAAAAAGAAACACAACTAAAGGACAGTTTTCTGAAATAAAGCACTGCCCTTTATAATAAAGGACGAATGGTCATATCCTGCAAATACTGTCTTGCTGAAGCCAGAAAATGTGCCAGTTATTACTGTCCCATGTCTGTGTCTTGTAATGGGACCTGGACAGGAGAAAAACAAAGTTGGAAGGGGGGGCCAAGGAACATGCTTTAACTTTAAGCTGCTTCCCCTCTAACTTCCAGCCTTGGGAGTCTCCAGAGTTCCCCAACCAAGTCTAACCCAGGGTTCCTCAACCTTGGCGACTCTTAGATGGGTGGGCTTCAACTCCCAGAATTCCCCAGCCAGCCAGCTGGCTGGGGAATTCTGGGTAGTTGAAGCCCACCCATCTTCAAGTC